TACACAGGAACATATCTGGGTGGTTTTGGAATGTCTTCAGAGAGGGAGACTCCACAATGTCCATGAGCAGTGTGTTCCCTTGGCAGAGGGTGCTCTGCCCCCATCAATGTAAAGTTCTTCCTCATGTTGAGGTGGAACTTCTTGTGATTTAGTTTATGTCCATTGCTCCTTGTCCTTTTGCTGGGCAACATTGAAAAGAGTCTGGCACCCGCTTTTGAGATATTTATTGGTAAGTTCTTTTCTCAATCTTCTCTAGACTAATCAGGTCCAGCTACTGCAGTCTCTCCTCATAAGAGAGATGCTCTGGACCCCTAATCATCTTTGTAGCCCTCCACTGGACCCTCTCCAGTAGCTCCTTGTCTTTTTTGTCCTGAATAGATCAGAACTGGACACAGTACTCCAGATGTGGCCTCACTAGAGCCAAGTAGAGGGGGAGGATCACCTCCCTCAACCTGCTGGCCTCACTCTTCCTGATGCACCCCAGAATACCATTGACTTTCCTGACCACAAGGGCACACTGCCAGCTCATAGTCAACTTGTTATCCAAGATTTCCAGGTCCTTCTCTGCAGAGCTGCTCCCTACTAGGTCAGCCTCCAAGCTGTACTGGTACTTGGGGTTATTCCTCCCCAGGGACAGGACCCTGCGCTTGCCTTCGTTGAACTTCATTAGGTTTCTCTCTGCCCGATTTTCCAGCCTATCAAGGTCCCACTGAATGGCAGCATAGCCTTCAGGTGGATTAGCCACTCCCCCCAGTTTTGTATCATCGGCATAAGATGGTAAAACACAGTACTTGTGTAGGCCTAGATTTGTTGCATATATTTAATTATTATTCTGAAGAAGAGATAACAAACAACCACTAATTAAATCAGTGAGATCTAAAGAAAGCTGTTATGAAATTTTGAGTGACCTCTGTTTCAAATGGGGTCTGTGATGGTAGGGAAATTGCCAGGCTGCCAATTAAAGGTCTGGTGATTGAGTAGATTAGCAGGAACTTCTCATGTGGATTGCTAGATCTTAAATTAGCTATTATAACTCCAGGAAAAATGACGAGTTTCATGTGAACAAGTCTTTCCTTAAAACAAACACAGACTTGCTCAAAAAGCAGCAATATCAGCCTCAAAAAATATTAAGAAAGGCACTACTGGAGTTATGACTTCTTATAACTTCCTGGAGCAGCATTTTCTTGCTGGTTACCTACCTTAAAACAAGCAAAAAAGGAAAGAAACAACAACAAAAAAGAAACAATAGCTGAAAAATATTAGGGCAATGAAAAACTTGCTCAAAGACAAAGAGATATACTAAACTTTTCTACATAACCATTTCTCAAGAAAATTTACTTTTATGCTTTTTATTCAGCTACAATTCTGTAAAGATATCTCAGAAGTTTCTACTGTAATTGCTGCAGAGGATTAAAAGAAATGGCCCCAGTATTTTCAGTGAGACAAAGAATATGAAGAATCACAATAATATTATAGAATAGTATGGAGAATGTAAATTACAGTACCTTCAACAGAGCATAATTAAATTTTGTTAAACATTGCTGTGAAGTGTATCTACTAGTCATGTTTAGGTTAAAACAGTGAAGGTGACAACATATTTTTTCTGCTCAGGGTAACAGCTCTAGGTGAAGTTAATATGAGTGTGAATTCAAACTCCTTACCAGAAATAAAACCCAAGATATTTCATCCTGCAATATTCTCGAAAAGAACAACACTTCTTGTGCAAAATCACTTGAATAGGAGAATCTTAGTGCCATATGTTGGTAAGAGAATAAATCTTATTTCTTTAAATGGGTTCTTAATCAAGGGGAATTTTGGAGCACATAAAAATGTACATGTCTAAATATGAAAACTTTCATCAGAAAACTGAGTTCTCACTCTTCCTTTGAAGTCCCACAAACAACTCCACCCCAGCAACAAGGTGTTCATCTCAAGTTCAGGAGCCCATGTGACAGTGAAACAACACCTAAGTTCCAAAACCTCAAATCTGCTCAGGTTTGTTTTCTAGGGTGCAGATGGAAGAAGTAATATCCTGTACTACACAACCATAACCTGGAACACTCACTTGAGTGTGTCTCATTTCCAGGCTCTCCCCACCCTGAGGAAACGTAGAAACCCCATTTCCAGCAGAACTAAAAGCCAGTCTGGAAAACAAGAGTTGGAACTGTTCCACTAGTCATACTACAGCCCTGCCAGAGCAAAGTTGCAAATTTCATGTAGCTGCAAGAAAGCCTTGCAAGAGAATAGCACAGCCCAGTGGCTGGGCAACTTAAAAAGGGAGGGAAGAGCCATCAATTCATGCAAACAGTGAGGTCCCGTATATCTGTCAGGCAGCTATGGTGACCACAAAGCCTGATGAGTCCTTTTAAAAAATCCTGCTATGGGGACCTACCTCTGGAGAAGAGCCTGCACGCCACAGCCTGTAGGCACTGGACTCTGCTCAGGCTTGGCTATGGGCTATTTCAAGGCTGTTTCTGCTGCGTTTGCATGTTTCCACCCAATTCTGGCATGCACTACAGAGGGAGATTGTGTGTCCCAGCCCCATGTCTTTATTGAGCCTTCCTGGGACTGGCTACTGAAGACACCTGTTTCAGCCCTAAATATGACAGCAGAGAAGCACAGAGGCTACATCCTGCCCTTTGTTCTTACAAGTAAAGCATTTCTGGCCCAACATTGTAAACATGTCACAATTCCCCCACCAACTGCAGTGGGAAGTGTATTGCATCTTCTATGCATTGATTTAACTCTCCTCTGTATTTGCTTCTGAGAACAAAAGTGTTATCCTTGAGATAAATTTCCTTATCATAATAATACAGACACTAAAAACAATGAAGGAAAGAAAAAATACTAGGAAAAAAAAAGTGTATTACTTAGACAAAATAATAAACCATAAATCACTACAGTGACAGGATTAAATGCGAAACCTTTAATTATGCATTTAATCATTTGCCACCCTCTTATTTTCCTTGCAGTAACATTCAAGAAGCGGCAATAAGATTTTAATTTGAGGGTGATTTGATTTTATTTTACATGCAAATTGAAAATGCAATACACATAGAAATGGTTTTAAGAATAAAAATAATATTAACTTTAATCTTCAACTATGTTGACATCTTATTGAACACCTTTATTTCTCTCAGTCACAATGACCCTCATTTAATGACACCCCTGTGTCAAAACACATCAAGCCCCTATCCTTTGCACAGACCTTATATAAAATAAAATAGAACTAAGGGGCAAATAAGTGGTTAGAAAGTACAATACTGTATTAAAGTAAGAGAGTGTAATTCCACTGCTGGAGAAGACACCGAGTTATACGTGAAGTATGGACAAATCTATGACCCCAGGTTGTATCTGCACCACTGCCTTTTCCACAGGGAGGCAAGAAGCAGCTGCTAGAACAGAAAAGTGACTCCTCAGCATATGAACACCTTCTCCTATCGATTCCAAAGTCCAGCAACAGAGAACAGAGCTGGTTGTTGATGTTGCTGTTAGGTTCAGAGTGGCCAAGGGAATTATCTAATTTCTGTAAAAATTCTGTACACTAAAGTCATCTTCCAGCACACTCAGAGTACTTACTGAAAATAAAAAAAAAACCCAAAGCAAAACAAAAAGCAAAAATAGCAAGATTGCCCTTCTTCTAAGTGGAGCATAAAGCAAATTCCAGACAGCTTTTGCATTCAGACAGATCCCTTCAAAAAATATGGAGTAGCAAAGAGCCAAAATATTGCTTATATGCTAAGAAAAAAACATTTGATACTAAACACATCAAATAATAGCAATTGTAAAGGTACTATTGTCCTGTTAGGTATTTCTTTCCCTATCAGAGAGCAGTTGACAGGAAAGTACTTGTCCTCTGGAGTACCTTTTGTTTTGTTTGCTTTATTGTGTTGAAGGCTCTGGCCAGTTGTCTTACAATTCCTAGTCAGGGTGGACTTTCACACAGCTAAAACTGTAACTCACGTGCTCTACATCTTCCTTTAAAAAAGAAGTGTCCACTGGGCCTGGAGTGCAGGGAAGATGGATTTGCTGTGCTCATGCTTTTCGCCCCAGCAGAGAGGTCAGAAGCACACAGGGCCTTGCCAATGTTTAGGGTCCAGAAATGGGCAGGACCAAATACAGTGGGGAAACATCAGCTATCCTAATGGAGGAGAGCAACATTTTTACTGTGTCTTTTGTAGAGGCACAAACCACCAGACAGAGGAATCTCAGGAAATCCTCAAGTTTTGTTTGGATTTTCTGCCATATTAGTCATCCGTTTCAATTTGCATCAAGTTTTTGAAAAATAAGCCATCCTGTGTACATGAGACTCTTGATTGTCTTGAATTGGTTTGTTGCTACTTGGCAGAACCCCTGGCTCACTGCTGTGAACTGGAGGAAATTCTCCAGAACCTGCTGCAGTCTCTTCTTCTACCACCTTTTGGAATAGGCAAACCCAGAGAGAAAAGGGGATAATTTAATTAGGTTTTGACTATCACATAAAGCTACTACATGCTTGCTTCTCAGCAAGGTAATTTTTTCCATTGTGTTTTGTAAGCAAGAAAAAGCTGCCTAGGGAAAGTAGAGAACACAGGCCCACATCTGTAGGAATTTAAGTACAGTCAGCACTGAGCAAATGAGTTTTCTTCCTTTCTTTCCTCTCTTGGATCTCTTTTTGAATCATGAGGAGTTTGGACTCATCCAGTAATAGTTAGATACTTCTGTTTCAGCCACTCAATTTGAAAAAAAGCCTTAAAGCACAGTGTGCATTAAACAACCCTACTACACAGAACTGCCTATTTATTAAATCCCTGTTCAAGGCTTAACCTGAAAATATAGGAGGTGTCTGGCTTAGTGCTTCTGAATGCGTGTGGGGCACCAGAGTCCTGGAAACATGAGACATTTTGATAATCTTGTTCTCAACAATTACTGGATAAGAAATTTCTGAGGCAACGCTTAAAGCAGGCTCAGTCATTTTGTACCTGACAACAAATGACTGAGATGACAGGACATTTACTCACCCTGCCAGTAAGATGATATGTAGGTCTTTGGAGTTTTTCTGTCTTCCCCTTCTCTAGTCCACTCATGCATCAGGTTCCTTAGAGATACAGGACAGCCAAGTGAATTTATGTTTCTTGCTCTGTGTGTAAGATGGTTACCTGTGACAGAGAGGACATAGAGACCAAATGTGGCATATGAAAACACTGGAACAAACATTTCCAATCATACTGTAATTCAAGTAGTTCCTATCTCCTGCCTTCAATAGTAGCCAATATGGAGGAGTAAAAACCCCAAGAGATGGTTTACAAATAAGCAGCCTAGGGGGATTGTTGTTTAGTAAGGGCCAGAACCTTTTATTCTGCCCTATTTAGTTATAAAGAAATAATATGTGTGAGGAGAGTTTTCAATGGTTTACTCAATTAATTCCATTAGTTAACACAATTTAAAAAACCCCAACTTATTATCTCAACTTTTTTTTAACTTTGTTAACTAGTGGATAATAAGTTGGGGTTTTTTTGTCAATATTAAATGCATTTACTTTTAGTTTCTATCTCACTGTTCAGATATTACAGCAATGGCCAGGATCCTTTCTGAAATATTTATTTAATCTCACCATTCTACACATAATCTCTTCCCTGTACCATCTCCAAACTATCTTTTCTACTTGTTTTTTACTCCAGAAAATTTTCCTTAAAGATTATTTGCTGGGTTTTTTGGAATACCTATAGACTTTTCCTCTTTAAGGACAAACTGGTCAGACCTAATATCTTTCAAAATTGTGACCAATCATTTCTGTTTCCTTCTTTTCCTTCCAGTACCACCAAGTGAGCAGAGGGAGACCAGTTCAAAGTCAAGCTTGATAATCATCTATGGCACTTTTCTGCTCCATTTCCTTCAGAAATACTATGCATCTGGTAAAGAAGCAGAAGAGGAGAATTTGGAACACATGCACAGTTGATACCCTCCATGGCCACTGGGCTGCGATAGGTCAAGGGGAGAAAAGCAAACATGCCAACTACCAAACATGCTGCACTTAAGAATATTATAAAAAAACTGAAGTGGGCAAATTGTCTAACTTTGTAGATCTCCCCTGAATAACTTCTGTTTTGCCAACTGAATAGCCAAAATAGGAATAATTCAGAAAAAAAAAGAAACCAAGAATAGATTATTATTTTAATTGTCTCACAAAGTTTCAAATACAAAGGACTTTCACTAAGGTTTACTTTGGAGGTAAAATTGGAAACTTTTCTTCAGAGAGTTTTCTATTAAAGGTCATGGGTATCAAAACCTATCGTCTCACTTTAGATCAGTTATAAACCTACTAAAAATAAAGTCTCCTATATTGCATATTGTCATTGATTCGCACTTCAGTGTAATCAGCACTGCAGACACAGGAAATTCCTAAAATAAACAGCAGTATTCTCTCCTTACTGCACTTAAAAAGGAACAGGAGTTCTGTATTTATATTTTAAGATATTCATTGCAATAAGTAATTAATTGTAATTTAAGATATGCATTGTACTTGCTATTGAGCAAATTATTTTATTATGGTTTAGATGAACAAATCTACTGTATCAAAATACATTGTAACTATGACAACAGTAATTCATAGTTTACCACTGTCTTTACCAGTAAGCAAATTAAGTAATTTTGCCGAACTGTTTCTTGATAATAAAAATGTGATAATTTGCAAGCAGTACTATTAGCATTTACTGTCTTAGAACTAGACCAATATCTTCTATGACAGTTGTAAATACCTCAATATCTTTATTGGATAAAACCAGACCATACAGATAGAAAATATAGTGCCTATTCTACTGAAGCTGCTAGAGAACTCACAGTGACTGTTCCAATGTTCTGGCTAAAAAAAAAAATTCAAGATAAAAAAAATCAAAAAAATGTAGTAAATTTACTCACATGAAAATGAAAAATCATGCTAAAAATAAAACCTTGTGGAAGTAGATTGTTTTGATATCCTTCACATTACCCTGATATATCGTGCTGAACAAGACTTGGGGATGTG